CCGACGGAGTGGAACCCCCCATCAGAGCAGATGAGGAGTTCGGAGGAGGCGGCAGAGAGGCCGGCGGAGGGGCCCCCGGGCTCCGATGGTAGGACGGAGTGGAGCCCTTATCGAATCGGATAGGCCTCTACGGAAAGAGCCGAAGAAATAAAGAAAAAGAAAAAAAAAAAAAAAAAAGCGTGGTTAGAATACTATAAAGAATAGCATAACACAGCAACACCAAAAAAAAAAGAAAAAAAAAGTGCAATATGTTTACTCAATAAGAGAGAGTACTTACAGATCCGCTTAGGGCCCCATTTCGATAAGCACTGCATGAGCTTATTGCAGTCTTTGGGATGGTCGCCGCTGAGCATCCATCGGTAGTGTTTCTTGTGATGACTAGAAGGACAAAGGCAAAAAAATAGGAGTAAGTTAATGGACCTGCTGGACTCATTTAGCAATAGCTAAACAGTGGGTGACGGTAGGCAAGACAAAACGAAGCCATACATATGCTAGATACTTACTTGATGACGGCTCTATAGTGGATTGTATTTCACGGCTGGAATAGAGCATTTTTTATGGTCTCTGTGTGGCCTTTATAAGGCATGTGAAGGGGAGGTGGAGAGGATGTGGGTGAAGAGAGGAGAAAAGAAAAGAAAAGCTGAGGGGGAGACGAAGGGTATTTATGAAAATTGTTTTTCTTTTTGTGTCGTCGATATGACGTTTTACAGCAACGCAAAGGAAACTTGGTATCCCACTGCCAAAGGTATTAAATAATAATACTAATAGCCATCATATGTCAGCAATAAAGAAAGCCATTGTGAAGTATAATAGTAAGCGAATGAGTGAGTAAAAAATAAATATTTGAAATGTAAAGAGATAACGCGTTCAGAGGGCAATGCCACAAAATTATTATTTTCCGCCATGACGCCTTCGGTCAGATGTTCGCATGAAAACTCTGTTTTCTGGTTGGTCAAAACATTTACACGGCAGATAAGAGAAGCAGACATTGTCCATCTTCGGTAAAATTAACCTTTTTTATCTCCAAATGCTGTATGAATGAGTATGGAAAGAACCATTGAGTCAAATATAATGAATAATACAAAATAATGCATTATATAGACATATACTTTCTTGCTGTCGACGGCGAGGGCTCTTTGGCGGATTGTGCTTTGGAGAAAAGGAGAAAGGATGAATGCTGAGTGGTTTTTGTAATCGCTCAGGGAAAATAGTAAGTGAAACCAATTTGTGATCTCAAAGTATTGACTGAATAGCAATACAAATACGACATTTTGCTTTTATGCAAGAAAAAAAAGAAAAGAAAACGGCATAGCGGGAATTGAAATCAATAATCTGTGCACCTGTGATATCATTCGTCAATTTTCATATGCTTACAAGGTGGAGAAAGAGAACAACATTCCATCCTCAAAGATATGCAGGGTCATACATACAACAATCTGCCTGCCCACAACAAGAGCACGAGCCACATTGCCCTCTTTGTATGGTGTACAACAAAGAAAGAAAGAAAAAACAGTGAGCAATGTGCTGTAGCTGGAGTAAAAGGACGAGACCCAAAGTACAAGCATATTAAAACTCGCATACTCTGTTTCTCACTCGCATAATCAGCTACTATTCACTATTCTTTATTACACATTTTGCATTGTATTGTATGGAAATAAAAATAAAAATAAGAAATAAAATAAAATTAAAATAAAAGTAAAATTAAAATAAAAATAAAAGTAAAAATAAAAATAAAAATAAAAATAAAAATAAAAATAAAAATAAAAATAAAAATAAAAGTAAAAATAAAAGTAAAAATAAAAGTAAAAAAAAATAAAAAAAAGAAGTGGTATACTGAGGATTGTACCACACTCTCGAAAAACGGCAACCCGCCGGAGCATAGTCATCACAATAGTCTATCCTACTCTTGTTAGGATCCATCAAAGTACCCTTGTCGCCGGCACCAAGTTAGCATACAATATATGTGTAGCTTCATTTTGTTTCGCCTGTGATTATCCACTGTCTACCCTACCACTAAACAAACCCACCACCTCGCCCCCATCCTTTTTTATAATAATTTGTGTAAGCACGCAGCTGTAGAGGATGAGAGTGTGTGGGTTGCAATGGCGTCGGTGTTGCAGACACTAGCAGCAACCACTGCGTGAGAGGCTTTGATGCACTTGGCTGTGTTCTTGGTGCTTTATTGTTTAGTGCAAGATGTCAATAGGAGGAGCGATGGTGGATGCTGGACAAATCCAAGACTCCTCGTGCATTTTGAATGATTCACTGGGCTTCAAAGCCTGTTTTCATTTTATATTTTTTTTATTAAGTAAATGTTTGGTATCTAGCTTACTATTCCAAGCTACAAGAAGCCAGACTCTTAGCCATCTTGGAGAGCGCTTTCCTTTATCACCATCGGAAAAGGCTCTCCAAGATGTTTTCCGGAGCACACCACGTGGAGGTGGTCTGGCATATCGTGCTCCGTTGGGTCAGGCCCCATGGCCTTGCAAACGCCCGCACACACACACACACACACATTTATTTACCCATTTGTCCATTCCCATCCCCATCCCCATTCCCATTCTGGATCGAAGGGGCTCCATCATCGCAAGGTTCGTTAGAGAACCAGCTCAGGCTCATACCCATTCTGACCTACCTTGGATATGCATTGTTACTATGTCAAAGAGTGCTTTGTGTTAGTAAGAGTTTTTTTTTCTCTTTTCTTGATTTTTTTTTTTTTTTTTTTTTTTTGTTTTGGCTCTCTTATGTTTTTTTTTTTTTTTTTTTTTTTTGCTGATATGAGATCTTTTTTTTTTTTTTTTTTTTTTTTTTTTTTTCTTGGCTGTTAATTAATTAATTTTTTTTTTTTTTTTTTTTAATCGTTGGTTTTCAATTTTTTTTTTTTTTGTCTTTTTTAAGGTGTTTGCTTTCGAAGGCGTTTGTTTTTGCCTGAATGGACTGTTCGACCTTTCTTTGGTTTCGTCCTTTTGCTGGTGACGCCGAGCTTCAGCATCAGTGTCTTCCGGAGCACACCGTGGAAAGTGGCCTAGCCGCTATGTTTTGGAGCTGTTTGTGAAGCCTTGGCCATCAAACTCAAGATGGAGTGGGCTGACTACTTGGCCGTGGAGAAGGTCCGGCCGTTTGACTGCGGTAGACTGGCCTTTTGTATGAGGCCAGTTGGAGCGTGGCCGGTTGGATAAAGCTTTTTGTTGGGGTGCGGCCGTTCAAGTATGAGTGTCTGAGTTTAGCAACCTGGCTGTGAGTTATGAAGCTCCGGTTGGTTTAGGCAATTTCATATCATTACAGTCTATTTGTGGGATGAAATGAGAGAGACAAGCAGAAAAAGAATAATCAGAACAAAGACAATGGAGCGCAGAGCGATAGTATTGAGAACTTCAGTAGGAGTGAGTGTTTTGGAAGCGTTGCTTACCTTTTATCTTGGTTGAGGAAGCCGAAGGTCAAGGAGACCGAGGAGAAAGAGAAGAGAAAAAAGAGAAGAGAGTCAAAATGGATCCTTTTATATGTGGCTTTTTTCTTTTTTTTTTTATTAATCGTGAAAGAAGAGATGAAGGGACGAGTAATGATTGGATTTCAAAAGCACAATATACCAAGTACCTTGCTCAAATAACAGCAACATAATAAACAAAAAAAATAGAAACAAAAAACTAAAAATTAAAAAACAAAAAATTAAAAACAAAAAATTAAAAACAAAAATTAAAAACAAAAATAAAAAATAAAAAAAATAAAAATTAAAAATGAAAATAAAAATAAAAAGTATAATAAAAATAAACAATATAAAAAAATAAAAAGTAAAATAAATATTCGTGTCTTTGATGTCATCTGTTATAACTCATACGGTAATGAGGAGACTCTCACGATCGGAAGTGGAATAATTCTCTGTCTTCAAGACTCGCAAGGAAAATCTGTCCATAAACAACTAGAGCATAACTTGCTAGCAAGAGTGTTAGCATTATGACGCCAGAATTGATTTTTGTTGCTACTGGTTGGCTGTTTCCTAGGGTTGAATACGCAGCAGCATTGTGTAGATTTGAACACAGACATCATGTCAAAGAGGCAGGGAACAAGTGGTCACTTATCACTCGAGGAACAAGATTCCCAAGCACTGCAACGGCTAATGACGTAATTGCGCCAGGCTGGGCACTTTAGTTATATAACGTCAAAGGATGTACAGCCGCTTCAGCGCTTTTTAAAGGTGCTACTTGAGAAACCATCAGTGCGAGATCGGCTTCAAAGGCCACCACTACAAGAGCTGCTGTTGCGTCTCCCACAGCCATTGTTGAATCTCCCAGGACCACGGGTAGATTATGAGGCGTTGTCTCAAAGATCAGAGCCGCATCGGCGGCTTGTGCAAGCATGTAGAGATACGGTTGTGGCACGCGTAGGGAGAGAGCTTAGAGCAGTAGAGCAAGGGGAGCTACGGTGCTGGCAGGAGCAGCATTTCTTCAATAGTTCGGAGGAGGGTGAAGCATTGTGGACAGAACTCCTAAGAAAGCTACTGGGGAATGAGTTGGTGCGGGTATTGCTGATACATCCGCCGCTGCAACAGCTGCTACCGAGGCGACCATCATAGTAGTAGTCTTGGTGGCGGCAAGAATCGGTGAACATGCATGCTTGCAGTTTTCCTTTATGAATACAAGCTGCATTCCGAAGAGACCATGATTTAGGGTGCACTGTCTTTAGCATCTATCGTAGCAGGTTCTCTCATATAGTGTGTCTTTACAAATGTATTTTAATGTATTTGAGGAAAAATGGAAAGGAAGAGATACATATTTTAAAAGCATATCAGGTACAGTTCTGAACGTAACATTTTCTCCACAGAAACAAATAAAGTATGAGATCAACAACATTTTGGCTCTCAGCACTTATACTCCCTTGTAACCTTGTAACCTTGCAACACCTCTACACGTCTGGCACAAGAAAATAAATCAAAGAATTCTACACGTCTGGCACGAGAGAATAAATCAACCAGAAATTCTTCAAGTCTGGCACACAAATCTTCAATGTCGCGAATCTCTAAATCAACCACAGACAACATCAAGTCTTCCGAGCCAACTAAACTGAAACTTTTCTGCATTGTGGAAGGAGAACCGGCATTCTCAGTGAACATTAATTCCGACCAAACTATTGACGACTTAAAGGATGCCATTAAAGCAAAAAAGCCGGGCCTCGATCATGTCGCCGCTAATCTGCTCACTCTTAAACTCATCTCTGGTGGTGCAACAAAGGAGGGAATACGCAAGTTGTCCAAAGGGTCACTCAAGGTCCTTGACAACGAATTTGAAAACTCCATACTTACTTTCCTGACGGGGCAGCAGATAATTTCATTTACATTATTGTTGAAGTACCGAAGCGGGGTATGTCTTTAGTTCTTGTTGGACTGATGGTTTCGATTTAAGGCTTCAAAACTACTTTCTAATCTATTCCATTTGTTTAAATTTTATCAAAGTTTCGAAAAGAGATCGAGATCAGCTAGAGAATAACGAGGGTGATAGGAGCTCCTCCAAAAGGACCAAGCTAGACGAGGACAACCTAATGAAGGCAATTAGTGCAGCAGGACTTGCCCAAAAGGCTATAATAAATGGCGATCCTAATCTCTCCGTCCTTACGAGTAAAGAACTGGTTTCAGTGCTTGATAATATTGGCGTCAGGGTGAGTTGAGCTAACGCGGACCTGTACTATTCAATATCCCAAACGGCCACTTCCCTCGAAAACGCATCATTTCAAGAAATCGACATGATATCCAGCCCTTTGGGGATAAAAATTCCTGTGCTCATGGTCCGAGATCTGTACGTAAGATCAGCTTTCAAAGAACTCTACGACACAATCGTCAAGAGTTTTTATATAAATGGAGATAATAGAGAGCCTGCAACCAAAATTGTTGTCACAGGGACAGCCGGTATAGAAAAATCATCCTTTCTCGTATACTTCGCCATCCGGTTGCTTGCCGTTATAATGAGGAGGACCCACCTACTATCATCATCCAGCAAAAGGATTCAATGTGTTATGCTTTCGGTGGACTATCTGTTATTCGATATGGGGACATAGAGGACTTCATGCCCTTCCTGAATCTACCCAGCACTTGGTTCCTAGTCGACAGCTCACCAAAACCAGAGCTCTTGCTCGTCAGGACTATCTTTTCAGTGTCACCAAAAGCTTTCCTGTATAAAGAAATTGAGAAGAGAGTCCCATGGAAACACTACATGGCTCCGTGGGAGCTAGATGAGTTAAAATAATGCAGAAGCAAGGTTGAAGCCTTTCAAAAGGTCCCTGACGGTTTTATGGAACACCTGTATGATTTGATTGGTGGAGTGCCAAGGTATGTCCTCGAGGCGCCGCAGGAAGAACTGCGCAAATACTCCGCAGAGGATCGTTGTAAAGAAAAAGTGAGAGCAAAAGCAGAAAAGCGTGCACTTGGCCGCATTCAGCAAGCCCTTGACAACCTCCAGGATCCAATGAAGATACTTCAACACTTTGAACAGGCTAAGGACTCACTATGTTACAGCAGCCATCTTCTTCACCGTTATCCGACAGAAGATCATGAAGGATTTCAATTAGTATGGGCTTCAAATTATATCATGGAAAAGGTGTATGATGCAGCGGACGACAATACTTGGAATGAAATATTGAATCGGCTCGCCAATAGTAAAGTTGGTGTAGATAGAGGAGCAATGTTCGAGCTTTATATGCGGTGCATACTACGGATAGGCAACCGGTGCTTCCAGGCCAAGAACCTTGATGACAATACTGAAATAACTATCGATATCAAAGCTAGCCCGGACGTTAAATGGTTCAATACTCTTGAATGTTACAAGGACAAGATGCAAGGATCGCTATGGATCCCAAATAGCAAAACATTTGCTTATGTGGATATGTTAATTACCCCGAACTATCTCCTTCAAGTTACGACGAGCAAGGATCATGGCATCAAAAGCAAACCCTTCAAAGTGCTTTTGAAAAGTATGCGAAAAAATAAGTGGATTCACTCCTCTAAGGAGGTTGCATTTATTTTTGTTGTTCCGCAAGACATGGTCGAGGAGTTCAAGGAGCAAGCTTACAGAACTGGAGCAGATCGTGTGGATCCTAAACCGACAAACAAATTAAAAAATATCAAGCAATATGTTTTGGCGGTTGATCTGCAAGATGAGCTCCGGAGATGCAGGAAGAAGGCAAGCCAGGCGGACAACCCAAATGAAAGTAGAATTGTGAATCAATAAAGTCAATGTACTCTGATAGAGGAACTAAATCGTGAATAAGGGGTAGGATAGATTTCAGATGAGATATGATTGGAGAGTGAAAAAGTTGAATATTTGACCCCCGGAAGCCGTTGGCTAATGGATGATAAAGAAAATAATGATGGGAGGAGCCTAAGATGAGGGGAATAAAGAAGAAAAGAGAAAGAGAGGGAGAGGAGGAGGAGGAGGAGAGAGAGGAGAGACAGGGATGAAGGCCAAGATAAGCACGTATTTTTTTTTTTTTTTTTTTTTAAAAAAAAAAAAAAAAAAAAAAAAAAATCATGTCTGTGTGTGGAGGGGTTGTGCCTGCCTGAATGTGCCTGAGAAAAATTTGTATTTGCGACAGGCAGGATATACCATCAAAAAGTCTTGCCAGCCCGAATGATATATGACAGGCTGTTTTACATGGCTCTAGTCCGACTAGTAAGAATCCAGTCAAACCAAAAATGAACCGTTTCCATTTCAGTAGTGAGAATTTTTTATTGGGTTGCGAAAAGAAAATGTAAAAAAGCTTGTTGCTTGATGGACATTCTTGTAATTATAAAATAAAAGAGTTACACGCATAATCAAATACTCCTCCATATCCCATCCCCAACATCGTCCTCGTCAATCTCCATCGCCTCAGCTATCTCTACATTTCCGTGCGAGCCCCCATGTGAACGGATTCGCGCGTCAATAAACGATTGAAGACGTTTTGTTCCTTACATCTTCCTATAGCCTTCACTGACGAGGTTTGTTACGGGACGTGTACTGGCAATTTGCGAATGGTATTCCAGAGGCTGATCTTTATCATAGGGGCCAAGGATATCGTTGGCTCTGAGGGATACGAGTATTTCGCTGATATCATGGTCCGCTTTCTTCGTAGCGTGTTTGGTGCCTGAGTAGGGGACGCCAAACGAAGTCTCCATCTGGTCTTCCATTCGCCCGAGCGAATGGATGCTAGTAGTCATTGATCCATGTTTCTTGGTCCAGGTTGATCTCTTTGCCTTTCGTATCTTTTTGATAAGCAGATTATTGTGCTCTTGGAAAAGATCTGTAGGTATCCAGCGATTTTCCTGACCTGTAGTGTTCACTGGCCAAGAAGACATGACAGCATGGCTTGTCTGTTCGGTCCAGGAGTATGTGAAGCCACAATGAAGATGCAGGAGCTCGTATGCATAATTCTTTGTTCCTCCAGCTTGGCAAATGGCAGTAATCAACACCAGAGACTCCTTAATGCGTCCAATGTCCTCGGCCTTGATGGCAGATGAAAACTCTATGTAGATTAACATATCTCTTATAAATAGAGCAGTTTTATCAGACACAATTCCGTTGAGCTGGGGTCGGTTGGCCATATCTAAGAACCTGTCCAGAATCTTGTTCACACCCTACTCACTTAGCTCTCGCAGCACATCTACAAGAAGAAACATAGAGCCCTCATCTAAGTCTTCACATTCCTGGACAAGCTCCCATACGCGAATTGCCATTGCACCGAATGTGTGAAGGAGAAGCTCATTTACTGCATGAAAATCAAACCGATCAAGAGCGACACGCTTTCGCCTTAGCTTTGCTGCATAGTATGCTAATGATCCAGGGATTCCTATGTCACCATAGTGGGTACGTAAGATTGTTGAAGAAAGTACCATTTGCAGATGAAAAAGCTGTATGATAGGGACCGCCCACTCCAACCTATGGTAGGTTGAAACGTCGTCGCAACGCTGCCTTTTTAATGAACGAATCCTGCTCACTGTAAGCTGTAAGCTGGTCGCCAGCAATTAATATCCTCTTTCCGTCAAACCACTCGCTGGGTATATTAAGGGTGTGTCCCATAACAGTTTCTAGGACATCCTTGTTTCCGTCAATCGTGGCCTGGTTGATGTGCATTGATGGCAATGGAAAAACCTCCGTTTTTTTGACTGGAAGTAGCAACTTCGATGGAACAGGTATCGACACCTCTTTATAGCTCTTAAAGCTTCTCTGCAGAACACTGACTAGGTGGGACCGCATTGTCTTTCGAAGGTGCTTTTCGTTTGCTAGCGTAGGCATTAAATGTTCAAACTGGAGACAGTGAGCAGGTTCAGTGCGTCCCTCTCCTTCTGCAGCTACGCCTGTGGCAATGAGTGTTGCTGCAGTCCCGCTCTCAAACGAGTCCCGGTTGTCGAGCCTTTGGTTGTGCTTGTGGTGAGCCATATTTATATTGTCGTAGACAATTAGAAAGGGACCATCCTTTGTCTTGGCCTGGACATACCTAAGGGCGTCTTCTGATGTTGGCTCCATGCCTCTGATGAGGGACTGATGGAAGACCGACAATCCTGCGCACGCTAAAAGTGTAATGACTTACCGTGGAACCCCCTTACTGAACAGATACAGTCCTAGCATTAACTGAAGATAGTTACATCTACAGTTACATAGAAATGCAAATACACTGGCAATCACAGGTACAGCTATCGACGGGTCCTTTGAACAACTACTGTTTGTATAGGCAATACCTGTCAGGAACCGGTGAAAAACAGGAGCTTTATCCTTGAAAACTTCACTAACGAACTCGAGCTCGTACCCTTTGATCTTTTCCTGTGTGATACCATTCACTGGAAAGTGCAAGGCTTTGTCTTGAGAGGTTCGTTCCAGTTCATCTTTGATATGCTCGAGTGCAAAATTGACAGCGGCAGGAACGGTTCTCTCTCGGTGATTTGGACGGATTATTTGTTTTTGCCAGAGATCGATAGCTTCAGCAGGCCCATTGTCTCTATAGTAGCTTTGAACAATACCCTGAATATATTTGCTCTGCGAGGGGAAGCAAGCATTCAAAAAGGCCTTGAGAGACAGTCTATGTTGTTTCATGAGGTCGGCGATGGTGAATCAATTGGCAGAGATGGTTTTAGGAAAATTGTCTGTTGCGTCGCCTAAATAATAGTCACAATAAAAAGATACTACTACCAGCTTTAGCTTCGCGCCTAGCGCAATGCACAAAAGCTGGCGACGAGACAACATTATTAAACTACCTTTCTCATTTAACATTATATTAAAACCATCAATTTTCAAATAACAATTTATTTCAATGACCCAACCTCAGCTTTCAAACCAAGCATTGTTCCTAAATTTAAACACCGCCATCCACCCAAAAGACATAATTGGGGAATTTAAAGATCGCTTCCATCCAAAGGATTCTATAGAGCTCCTTTCGATGCTGAAGACTGGCGTAAATGAGATTCCTGAAACATTGCCTTCTTACACACGCGTTCAGCAATACTTGGCGATTTTTGAGGCATGTTGGATTGGTTCATTACTTTTCTTTATATCAAAATCCTAAATACTCCAAACTAATGTTTAAGCCAATGTTAATCTGTAGGAACCGTCATTTATCCGGTCCTGCGAGAGGTTGTTCTTAAGGCAGAAGAAGCAAGCAGACACCAATGACCCAAGTCCTAATACTGGATACTCTATGCGGGATTCAACCCTTCAGAAACGAAAGGCCTCATGTTCAACCGCAGTGGAAGATGTAATTGATCAGGACAATTGGAATGTTGATCAAATTTATTTAAGAAATGGAGACAAGACAGTAGGCCACATTATTAAGAAGGCTGCTATTGAACTGATACCTCTATCTGGAGACATTTCTTCGGACCAACGCAGGATTTTGACATTGGGATTGTCGTCAATCCTTGACCTCACAGACCGTTCAGTAAAGGGTCAATTAAAATCATTGTTTAAGGAAGAAGAGCAGAATGAAATAATGGAACGTTTTAAGCATCTGAAGCAGTATGACTCAAATACCTCTTTCGTCTCTGAGGAGCTCGATATGCATCTAGAGCTTATGCAAAGGAGCCTTGTAAAGTAAGCAAAGAAAATAAAAAAAAAAAAAAAAAATGTAATGCGAAACTAGTGCACAGAATGCTAACATAAAGATATTGCCTCAGGAGTCAACTTTCAGGTGCAAGGTCCTACATTCTGCGTCAGATTCTTTGCAGCACAGATGAGATGACAAGGGACCTGAATGTTCTTCAACACATCATTGAAACGCATTTATTCAATGAGCATCTCTTTACACCATCATCGACAGCAAAAAAGAATCAGGACATTTCAGAATTGGATTATCTTGCGGATATTTGGAAGCCTCTATTTTCAAGGCTCTTTGCTGGTTCGGCTGCGAAGATCCGCAATAAGGGCGGAGAGACTACCATGATCCAATCCAATGAGGAAAAACGTAGGATATACAATGATGACACGGCCATCGCCTTCAAGATCGACTGCCGCATCCTGTTGGACCACAATGGAAAAGAGTACGATCTTGCATCTATTGAGATCGCAAAGAACACGGGCAGAAGTAAGATCTGCTTCGATGGCGCAAAGCTACTTCGTGAAGCAAAATCGATCACGAATATGCTAGCGGGCATAGTTGCGGATGACGACCATTTTCTGAAGAATACAACAGCATTTGCAATACAGATTGGCGGTCTGTCAGGTGCTATTTATTCACTTCACCTCGTAGCACCCACTCTCTATGTCGCAGTGTTTGAGGCTTCTCTGCAATTCCCAGCCACCCCCAGCTCTTTAGATAAACTCAAGCCTACCTTGAACGCGCTTCTCTGGTTAAGAAACAGGCTTAATGAAGGGGGAAACCAGGTCAGGAGCACACTGTCAAGAGTGGAGACAATCGAGGATGTTCTTACTCAACCATCCGGAAATATCGAGAGCCACTCGAGGAGAAACTGGATCAACGATGTTTTTTATACCCCTCCAAGTGGTAAAAAGATCCGACTTCTCGATGGACTTGTAAAGCCATCGGTAACAAACTTGACAGAGTCGTTCCTGGCCGCAGCATCTGATAATTCCCACAGCTTCCCAAATGTTGAGTTTAATGAAGACGGTTGGGGCCGTGTTTATCATGGCGGTTCGTTCCGGTGGTTTAATATCCATTTGAATAAGTTCTCAAGCACTTATGGTGGCAAATCACCCAGTCTTTAAACCGGTTTGTCCATTGTATATTAGTATAGAAAAAAAATACTTGTATTAAATATGCTTTTTGCACACAGATGAACAAACTGATGAGCACAATATCGATTTATTTGATGGTAACAAGGAGGGCGATACATCTAAACATATTGTTGATTACTTAGTTGACTACTTCAACAGTCATGCAATTGGTTGCATTGTTCATTGTTTTGTTTAATGTTCTCCAGACCCGACATTGTGGAGTAGAAGCCATCGCGCCACGGAGAGACAGGGCAAAGAAAAAGTAGGGGAACGAAGGTGGGAGTAGGGGAAAGTGGTGCGCCAAGCTCACTCATGTCACAGAATAATCTGAAGCGTTAGATGTGTAAGTTGAGAGAAAGAGGCGTCCTCAATACGCTCTTCCATGAAGCGAAAAATAGAAATGTAAAGTTTCTTGATTGACATTAATTAAGCAATGACAACAAGAATCACACTACCTAGCGCTGCTGAATTTGGCAATCGATGATGGCTAGGATCTGTGTTATTGTTACTCTCGTTACATTTATTGAGAGCCCCGATCGATGGCAGTTCATTTTCATCGAAGTTTTTTTTGTCTTTTTGGAAAAGGGCTGGCCAAAAGCTGGCCAAAAGCTGGCCAAAAGCTGGCAAAAAGCTGGCAAAAAGCTGGCAAAAAGCTGGCAAAAAGCTGGCCCAAAGCTACAGGAGCAAAGGGACAGCAAGAGGACAGCAAGAGGACAGCAAGAGGACAGCAAGAGGACAGCAAGAGGACAGCAAGAGGACAGCAAGAGGACAGCCGAAGAGAAAAAGTATCCTCCTTGCACATTGATTTATGTATTTAGGGTTGATACGTGACTTGTTATTCTAAATAAAATAAGCATGGAACTACTGTGGGACTTTTCGTGTAGTTGAAATTTTAGCGATATTGAGTTAAAATGCAGTCCTGTACTAAAGTCTGATAAGGCAAACAGAGTTAAGTGTTCATAATTCTCAAAGATATGTCACTTGTCCCATTCTTGACTACCATCTTGGTCAATAAGTCTCTAATAGCACACTGTTCTACCTTACAATCTATCGGGTATACAGCACGTCTTTATTTTACCTAGGAATAAGACGGATATCTTCTTTCTTTCTTTTTATGATATGCGGGATATGCTTTTCATCTTGACTAGCATAGCGTACTAGTGAAAACATCGGTTTATGGCCAACAGTCGCCTCTATTTTCTTCTCGATTTTAAAGATTGAATGTCAAGCCCATTGATTTTAATCGCCTTGAGACAAATAAAGTCTCTTAAACAAAGTAGGATTTGGTACAAGTAAGGCTGAATTATTGTTGAGAAAGATAGAATACCATTACTTCTCTACAGCATCTCTTTACAATCTCGAGATCGACAAACTTCCCAAAAAGCTCAATTGTCGTAACCACAAAATTGCTATTATTATTAGTAAAGTAGATATCCTTCGAGAGACCCCCGAAACACACGCCCTCTAAACCAGATGGTGATGTGGTAATGTATGTATATACCATTGCTCTGTGTTATATTTTGAAGAAGCATTCGAGCCAAATGCAGACAACCTCACTCCAATTGGATTCTAAACAGCATTTCTCTCAAAACACAGTTTGTTGTTTTTTCTTGCTAAATACTGAAGACAGTGCTACTATTTACTGTTGTCCTTTGCGCCCACATTTGTTCCCCTTGAGTTATGGATGCTACTTTTGTTTTTGTTTTTTTCTTAGTGCTGCAATCATACCATTGCCATTAGTAAAGTAGTTATTCTACCAGAGATTCAGGCTCGGGGCTAGGAGGCATTCGTATAGACAAACATAACGAATGCGATGACTTAGAATCCACTCACGTGGTAAAGACGACCATAATATAAAAGCTCGTCCGCCGTAATATTAAAGATCCCTTCTCTTTGTCCTATTGAACCTCCGCTTTATTACATCGTAACTTTTTATTTACGTTTATAACATTGCTAGACCGACCCGCAGTCCTGTTGTTGCGTGTTGTATTTTAAACCTGGATACCTGGATTTATTATTCATAGCCTTCAAACGAGCTCAAAGCCGCATTCAGGTGTATAAAAGGACACGCGGTTGGTGATCAGGTCGGATCTTATATATACCCTTTCATATCATGGGTATCAGAGGTGTATTTCAGTTTATTTTAAAGCGCAGTGTACCGGTGGCCGTTCCTTCGCAAGATGAAAAAATTTCCAAAATGCAGTCGTCAACTTCCCAAAATGTGCCTGATCGCAATTATACTTGTTCCATCATCTCTCCTCATTACTCTAAATTGAATCCCCTGGACCTTCCAGAAATCATTTCGTGTGTTGGTGATTTTCTCGATAAAAGTGACATCGCTAAATGTCTTCGCATCTCCAAGTCTTTCCACAATGCTCTTATCGAATCCCTCTGGAAAAGGATCCATGTCAGACCTCATTACAGACGCCCAACTGAACAAGCACTGAAGAAACACGGGAGATATATTGAGGAGCTCGTGATTGAGTTCAAGTTCCCAAAGGGGTACATGTCGTTGCGGGGTTGTAGTCGCCTCAAACACATCAGTGTTAATCTATATCCAAGCCGTCCTGTGCCAAATGATCTTATCAATCTTATCAGGGCCCACACAGTTACCAAGCTCTCATTTAATTGTCAGAGTTTACGAGAGACATGGAGAGAATTATTGGAATTTGCCCATCTTGAGGACTTGACCATTTGTGGAACAAATATAAGCAAGGATGAGATTGATTTATTTTTTCAAGTCTGCAAGAAAATTAAATACTTGAACATGCGCGAGGTGTTCATCTTTCAGCTACCTTCCAACTTCTTGAACGGCACGGACGAATTGATATTTCCAAATATTATCACGCTACACTTTGTAGCTGTCACAATAGGCATCTCCCCACCACATTCATCGCCTTATTGCCTTGGTGTGCTGACTAGGAGATGTCCAGGGTTGCGATCATTGGATATTGGTACCCCCTATATTAAAAAAGAACCCCCCGAATTCTTTAGAGCAACATTCCTCCATCATTCCTACACTTTCACCAATCTGTCCAGTCTACGCCTTGATATGAAAATAGATGACGAGGATATGGCGGCACTTCTCAGACGGATGGCTGGACTAAGGCGGCTAGATATCCCAGATTGTGAGTTCGGTCCATTTTCTCTTCAAGAGTTATTAGCGTACGAGGGAGAAAGTCTGGATAGTGGGGTCTTAGTACGAAAAAGGAGGGATCGGCGGCTATGCGATACAATTGAGGAGCTCTTATTCAAAAGACAAACTGAAAGGACCGATGGCATTGTCCAAGCAATCCTATCCAATTGTCCACGTCTAAAGAGTCTGTGGGGACCTAAAATCACAGTGACAGAAATCGTCAATGGAGCAGAATGGGTCAGTACTGACCTTGTCAGATTGATCATCGACCTTGAAGCTGACGTTGACCAAGAGACTGCGGAGGGTATGGAGAAGCAGCGTATTGTGTTTAGGCGGCTAGGCAAGTTAACTCGACTGCGTGAGCTTGCTTTGGCAGGCCGAGGGTCTCTGATTGCTATTCGAACGCTGGATTTGAGGTTAAGAGCGGGTCTGGATGAACTGGTCAACTTGAAGTGGCTATATTCAGTAGAATTCAATTATGTTGGGCATCGTATTCAATATGAGGAAGCGACATGGATTGTAAACAATTGGCCAAGAATAAGGTACTTAAGATACACTTTAATCAACGAGGTATATCCTGCGAACAAACTAAGCACACACCAATTAGCGGCCGAATTATTTAATTCCCACAAAATCAGCGCGCAAAATAACTCAGATGGTTGGAAGTACAGGTATTACTAAACTTGCCGGATCCGCAGCAACGATAATATAAGCTTCAGTATCTTAAGCGAAGATGATTCACAACTACACTTTGGGAAGATCGCGGGAAAGGACGGTACGAGAGGCTTAGTCTTAGTATGGTAGTTTAGTGAAATTAGGAAGGTTTCAATCCTGGTTTTCCCAAATGCTTTCCCAAACGAATTTGTTTATAAGAGATAGCCTGTGTTGTGTTAAGTATAAATGACCGATGCAATCTTCTGTTCCTTTGGAGCGAACTGTGTTTCTAAAGGTACCATCCCTATGACGCAAATGTGTAAGCAATCCTCTATACCGATGCAAAAAAAAAAAAAAAAAAAAAAAAAAAAACACTCGTGCAAATGTTGGAACAATGTGTGTCATATCTCCGTTCAACCCACATGGGTCTCGTCTTCTAGTGGAACGCTTGTCCCTGAATTGAACTGCAGCCCCTGAAGATCAAGCTTTGGAAGGATCAATGCAAAGTTGGCAGCGAGCTTCACGTTAAGAAGAATAAGTTCAAGCCAATGTTTGACTGGACTGTTCCTGAGGCATGTAAAACTACTAAAGCATCAACCGTCCTGTATCACTTACATGAACATGCATTTTAATGATTTCCATCTTCGTACGGTAATAAGGGTCAATCCAGTATCACTTGAGTTACGATGAAAGACTTTGTGTCCCACAGGCTTTGGATTGGTGGGATGACCCAATGCAGTGGTTGCAAAGTACTCGTGTAACTTGGAAGGTAATATATGGGCCAGAGGAAATTAGACAACACAAACTTCGCCCAATGCTTACTCAGCTCACAAGTACTGAATCAAGAAACATGAAAATGAGCGTCGCAATGGAAAATTGCACTACCTTATAGCCGGCGGACCACTGACTGAACAATCAAGTGCTATCGCGCTGTCATCCGCTCTATACTTTTTCTGCATGTGGGCCATTTCACTTCGATTGCCTCATCTGTCACCAACATCACCATCACCAACACAAAAATAACAAAAGAAATGATGGTGAAATTCAAGGTATGCCACTTCTCAATTCTAATCTACCTCCATTTCAACATTCACATCTCTTTTGAATGATAGTCAACTTCAAAATAATCTCTTGGACATTTCAGACATTGTAGAGCTTGACAATTATTTTCTTCACCAAAATGACATCGTTTACTGACGTTGCATCCCCAGGGCATACCACAACGCGCCTGTCAAATTCATTCGGGAAAATATTGTCCTTAAAGCTAATTCAGATGACCTCGCTTATGAAGCGTTGCTGAACAAAAAGGAATTTACTGAGGAGTCTGGGTTTTATATTAACCCGCCAAAGGAGCACCAATAATTGCGAAGTTGTAGCCGACTCAAAGAGACCGGCTACTAAGTGGAATCTGCTTCAAGCTCGTCTATCCTGGACGATCTCTCCAATCCCAATAAGACCCACACGTGCACCCTTACCAACTTACCATTCGATTTCGACGATTCGAGTTCATGGGAGTTATGGGGAGCATTACTGGAATGCATCCACCTTGAGGCCTTGGCCTTTTCTAGTACACAAATAAGCAATGCTGAGACCAATTTATTCTTGCAAGCCTACAAGAAATTAACGGCTTGGGTATGAAAACCGTAAGCATCAGTTGACTTCCTTCTGACTTCTTAAACGATAGCAAGGATACATTCATTTCTCCAAATATGATCATCCTATACCTTAATGATGTCGGAATATCCACACCTCATTCGCATACATCGGCCTATTGCCTTGATATTTTTATTAGGAATTGTCCAAGTTTCACCTTCGTTGAATTTCTGTGATCCCACTAAGGACGCTCAGACTAAAGAGCAAAGTGTGATTTCGGCCCACTCTCTATGCGAGGATTACTAGCAGAAGAGCAGGAGGTTCTGGAGGATAGGCGCAGTGTACGAAAAAGGAGAGTTTAGAGACCTTGCAAATACAATTGAAGAACTCGAATTGGGTAGATTTAGTACCAGGAATGAAGGCATTGTCCAAATAATTCTATTGAGCTGCTCATGCCTGAAGGACTGTGAGGGTCTAATATTACAGTGGCAGGGGTTATTGACGGGGCAGAATGGGTTAACACTGGCCTGGTAAGCATGCTGGTCAAGGCTTAAAGCTGATGTTGCTCAGGAGTGCAGGAGGCATAGAGGAGGATGCATTGTGTATGAACAGATGCGAAAATTGACTCGCCTCCATCATCACGACATTTCAATGAATAGCAATCTGCTTTCTTTTGAAGTCTCGACTTGGGTCTAAGGAAGGTCTTGCCTACTCTGACCAGCCTTAAGAATCCGTGTTCTTTATGTTCAGATTCCGTAACCAGCAGCAGGTACGGGAAGCCAAAGTATAAGAAAAATAAAAATTAAAGTAAAAAAAAAAAAAAAAAGAAAAAAAAACGAGCATATAAGGGAGTAGTATCAAAATTACTCTATTCTGGCTAACGCCCTTTCAATAAAGCGCGAGTTATTAATATCAGTGGTGACTTCAATAAAGAAGGCATAGCAACAAAGATCAAGGGCTTCTTTATGCTATACCTCTCTCAGAAATCCAAATCCGGTGATCGTTATTGGTTCATAACCCTGTATTATGTCACATAAATAGCCTGCCATCTAAAAACTTCTTTACCATTGTAACGCCTGATGGATAGTTCCTTGCCAACTGCTAAGCCTGGCATGGGTTTGTTAAATCAATCAGGGTTCTCAATTCTTCTCATCCACCCAAACTTCCTCAGATCTTAAAAAAAAGCTATATGACATGCCTACAACTGCTACATTTGAATGCATGTGCATCTATTCAAGGAAGGTATTCAGTAGTTGAAAAGAGGCAAGTTGTTTAACTGTTGGCATGCTGCAGCGCAAGCACTGTGCGTATATGCTATATTTTTTATAAAAAATAAAAAACGGCGACAAGGTGGCAGCACACCGCATTACAAAAGTGGATACAAAATTATACGCTTCAAGGCATGGAAAGCTGCTCTCTATTACAAACTCGACAAAAAAGAAAAAAAAAAAAAAAAGAAACGATGACTTCCAACTTTAGGACTAGGTTTCCTCTATCCTAGTCTATTCTAGCCTTAGTATATTAGTGATAGTGAATGTTGTGCCTAGCGATAGAAATGTTTGTGGTGTACCCTTGCCCTGATAAGCAAGGTATAAGGCAAGAACAGAAAATGGCATGCGCTTCTTTATTTGGTCTCTCTAGGAAGCCAAATTCATTGATTGCTCTCACTTCACAATCTAAAGCCCCTTACCGTTTATCATTTGCTGGCCGGTTCCTCGGCAATTGTTCTTTTGTAATGCGCTTCAAAGTGCTCTATGCTAATGTTGCTATGGATTGGTTGTAGGTTGTGTATTCAACTTAATGAAGTCCAACTGTTTCCTTGGAACATCACGAATATGAAAGGCATGACTTTGGCTCGTACAAATCTCTTTGAAGCGTTGCAGCACAGGCTGTCATTGCAAAGAGCTCGTACGAACATATTTGTTGGTGTCTCTCCAGCCAATGAACTTTCAAGGCTGCACACATCTTACTATCCTTCATGTACTAGCAACCCTTTCCTGCGTAATCAACCTTTTATTGATACCAGGGCTCAAGAACTAAACTGATATAAATAAATAGCGTATGATGCCTTAGGTTACTCCCCATCTTTCTTTTTCGATGAGGTAGGAAAGTGAGGGTGGGTGTGGTGGGACAGGAGAGGGGTAATGAACTTAAAGATGTCCTTTGTCGCCCTGATATTCCATAGACAGGAACCCCTTGCGCCACGGCATCCAAAGGAAGCACTCATGCTGGTTTGCACATAATACTTAAAGAAGCTGCTGTAGTCAATGAGGGCACAGACAATGTAGGTCATTGTCTACTATAGGTCCTTTTGGCTCTTCATATGGCATTGCATCTGAAAGTAGGCGAAGTACGCATAATAAACAGACAAAGGCAGAGGAATAGAGAGAGGCGACCTACAAGGCACGTCTTTCCCTCTCTCTGTGGACGTGTCTGGGTGTTGATGCCGCTCAGCACATAGTATTTAACCGATTTGCTTCTTACACCTTCCCCTTCGCCCTCTTTTCCTCATCTACTCTCAGATGAAAATACTCTCTTGGGTGACCTCGAAGGACACCAAGGCCTCAGGGAATAATGGCTATACAGGAGGTGTCCTCAGAGGCCAATGACCCAGCACCTCTCCGCCTCATTCCGGCTGTGTTGCCGCCTTGATCCTTGTCCATGTGCAAAAGAAATATATAAGCTTTTATTTGAGCAAGAGCCACGCTCAGTTGCAATAGACATACAGCGATACAGCGCGACTACGATTCAATACGAACAAACTAAACAAACAATAATAATAATTAAAGTAGACAAATTGCCAGACATGAAATATATAAAGTGTCCGTATGTTGCTATGAAGCTTTCTCATTTATCCCTTTTTCTCTCAGGCCCCTCCACCTATCTTTATTTTTTTTTTTTTTTCTTGGCTGTCAATTCTATAATTCAGAAGAGCAAAGAGCAGCTAACTCTATTGGAATCCTTCTTTCTCTTCGTCATTTCTATTAATCAGGCTCTCTTTTCCCGTCAATGTTTTGGATTTTATGTGCTATGTAAATGTGAACGCACTGTAACATGGTAAGCGCCTGTAACAACACACGTCCACCAAAGTGGCAGTCCGAAATCATTGACTAAGGGACAGCTCATAGACTCTACTTAAGGAATTAACCAGAGCTATGCAGTTGTATGAGCGCAGCTAAAGCTAAATACATAGGCCTTAAGGCATGCTACTGCTACTAGACAAAAAAAAAAAAATTGCACTTTTGCACGACGTTTTCCTCTAAAGAAATAAACCAATGCTTGATGAGTAGAGGTGCTTTTAAAAACTTATGGTCAGCAACCTTTATCTTTGACACCTTTGTAGATTAGGTTGAAGGTCCTTTTCTCCTTTCAGTAGAGTATGAGCTATATTGATTATGGAGCTCGTTCGACAAATCAAATGTGCAGCCTAAACTAACGATTATAATCAAAACCCACTAAGGTATTCATGTGCTTGATTGGGTTGCTCCTTAAGGCCGTGAATGAGTCAATGTAGGTATATAGCCAGCTATATATTACTGAGCAGCTTGCTACCAATAGCTGACACAGTTTAGTCCATTGGCTTTGCTATTGATTGTCGCTACTAATCTTCTATTCCTATTTGAGG